ATTTTTGGGCACACCCTTTTTGGTGAGATGGAAACAAGGCAATTTTTATGATCCCTTTGCAAGGAAAACCACAAATATCCAAGAAATATGGAATCAGAATGGTTATAATCATCGGTAAGGTATGCTCTCTTGCCGGCAGAGACCATTAATCACATCTGGCACAAATGTAACAGTTTCCCAGTTACACAAGATGGGGAACAACAAACCCATATTAGTTCTATCATTCTAACATAAGAACAATTTGTAAGACAGTGGGAAAGGGACCATCAGTGCTTTGTGTCAGACAAGAGAAAGTGATACAGGGAGGTATCTAACACCTGCTGGTGCCTGGGAGAGAGGGGGAAAGCTCCACCATCTTAACTCAGTGCCATCAAACCACGCAGCACAGAACACCACGGAGTTTGGTGGTCTCTGGCGAGGGGCAGGGAACCCGCTCATGAGTTCAAGAAGAAAATCTGTGATTATTCTTGTGGTTAACAGTCATGGGCTGATAATTTTGGAAGTATGGTGCCTCTTCAATAAGATCTTGGATGAAGATAGATGAGAAGTATGACGCTTCCTCAATAAAAGCATGGGTAGAGAGAGGTGATCCTGGCATGGGAAAATTAACTAAAACTATAATAATAATTTCAAACAGTGGAAGGCTTACCCAACCCCAGACACTGTGTGAAAAGCATTGTGGAGATCCTCAGCAGTTCATATGCTGCTATTATTTTGCTTGTATCTAGAGGTTGTGTTTTTACCTGAAGAACAGATTTAATATGTGATGCAAAGTCTATCTGAGGCTTACTGAATCCATCAAGCTAGGAGTAAGTAATATTAAAATTATAGTGTATGTGTGTGCCAGGGTATTTGCCTACCTTGGGGACACAGCCTTGCTAAGTCTGAGGGGAGACTAGGCAATTGCTTAGCTCCCGTTGGCCAAGGTAACCTCTGATTAGGGCTCAGGCTTTCAATCGTCATGGTTTTTCAGTCTTCTTTTTTGTACCAGTTCAGGTATTTGTAAGTTTGTTAAAAATTTATTGAACTGGGAGCTGCAAAGATGGCTCAGTGGTGAAGAAAACTTGCAGAATTGAACATGTAGATTCAATTCCTGGCTTACAATCGTCTGTAACTCCAGTTTCAGGGGATCTGACATCCTATTCTGATCTCCATGGGCACTAGGGGTTCATGAGATAACACGCATACATGCAGGCAAAACACTCACACATACAAAGATTTTTTTATTGAATACTTATTAGGTGTGCAGAACTCACTAGATATACTCTGTCATCTTGGCATTTATAATAGACTTGGGGAGGGGAGCTTGTAAAGGATGTTTGTTTAAGACTTCACGTGACCCACTCTTCTGACTGGTCTATATTTAGGAACAATTGTCCTGTGTCCCAGAAAACCTCTCTGTCTTAAACAAACTGATAATGTCAACCACCTGCCCAAGACTTGACTAAGCACGAGATATTTCTCCACTGAGGCAATGAGCTAGGGGCCATGGCCTGTGGTTTCTTGGAGCTCATCAAAACTTAAGGGCTTAACACATAAAGAAATTGTCAGAAGCTCTGAAAGAAAAATAAATAAGCCCATATTAGAAGATGATGTTAATTTCTCTTCAATTCCCAGAAGCATCGGGAGAAAGTGAGGAGGAAGGAAGTTGAACTTTGAGGCTCCTGTTTAGAACTGCAGATTTGCAGCATCTTCCCCCTGGGTAGTGGTTTATGGCACTAGACTTGAGGTTCAGGGCCCAAGTCTAAGGATGTTAGCTAAGTTATGGGTTGACCTGTTAGGACAAGTGATTGTGCTTATGCTGGGTGTGGCTAACTGCCACCATAGGTATCCGAGGCTGAGAAAAAGCACTACCTGAGAACGTCTCCAAACCAGCAGCCTTTGGGGTCCTCAAGGGAACAGTGCTTAATGACCATAGATAACTGCTGAGTTCTTCTAATATACTTTGGCTGGGTCTAAGGAAAAGAGCATGAGTTAGATGCTAAACTTACCAGAAGGAAGGTATTATGGTATGGATGTAAAATGTCTCCTGTAGGCTCATGTATTTGCTGTGGTCCAGGGTTGGTGGAGCTGTTTGGGGAGGGACCCGTTAGGGGGTGGGGCCTAGCCCAAGGAGGTGGCCTTGTGCTTCTGCAGCTGTGAGCCTTTCTTTTCTTTCTTTCTTTCTTTCTTTCTTTCTTTCTTTCTTTTTTTTTTGTTTGTTTTTTGAGACAGGGTTTCTCTATGGCTTTGGAGGCTGTCCTGGAACTAGCTCTTGTAGACCAGGCTGGTCTTGAACTCACAGAGATCTGCCTGCCTCTGCCTCCTGAGTGCTGGGATTAAAGGCGTACACCACCAACGCCGGCTAGCTGTGAGCCTTTCTTGCTGGGCACTTCCCCCACCACGCTGTATCTCCTCACTGTGAGACCAAATAAATCTCTCCTCCAAGTTGTTCCTTGTTAGGTATTTGCTCACATCAACAAGAACGGTAGCTAATACACAGTTTGTGAAAAGATGTCTATGTTTATGATGTGATTGGAGATTTTGCCATAGAATGTGGTTTAGACTTTACGAAGTGGGTTCCTTCTCTTCAGAGGAGGTGTGGACAGGGCAGGCTTGAATGGCATGCCATACTCCAAGTTCAGCCAGAGTAAGGTCATTCTCTCCCAATTTACTTACAGTTGTTCTGGTTTTCTTCTAGTTACAGCTTAATGATTCATTATGGATACCAAAGGGAAGGAAGAGGATACAGTTACTGGCCTCTGGCTGACAGGAGTCAAAGTGGCACCGGTACAAACCCTGCATGGAGGTCAGATGAGTATTTGTGATAGCAGGTAGAAACTTCAATCACCCGGCCAGCACTGCTTGGTCTGCCACCAATGTGATGGCCATGGAACAAATACAGTGTGTAATTAATGAAGCATGAGTAGTTTTGGAGTGAGGTGTTTCAGAGGCAGGCACAGGGAAGAGTGAGGAACACCCACTTAGCTTTGCATGTGGTGAGAGAGTCTCCTTGGTATAATACATCCAGGAAAAGAAACTACAAGCTAAGCCTACCTTGGGCCTTTGGGAACTGGAAGGAAACGAGGAAGAAATTAGGTTTGTTTAGCATTTGCTTCTTATCTCATCCATGCAAAGAAGAAGCCAGGAGGAGAAAAGCTACTGTTTCAGCATCCAATACTCTTGCCACGGTTTGGACCTGAAACAGCTCCCACAGACTGTGTATAGAAATATTGGTCCTCAGTAGGTGGAACCATGTGGGAGAAGCTAGAAACCTTAGGAGGTGGGGCTTAGCTGCAGGAACTTGGTCACCTAGGAGTGTCCTTGGAAGTTAGATCTTGCCTTAGGACTCACTTTCTGTCACTCTCTCTGTTTCCTGTCTATCACAGCTGAGTAGTCGCTGCCACATGATCTATGGGAATTCATGAATATGTGAAAATAAAACAACATACTTCTACATGTACATAATGGAGGGAATCACAGGAGAAATTAGAAAATAATTAACAGCAAAGTCTGGCAAACTGCTCAGGCAGGGTTGAGAGAGAGAGAGAGAGAGAGAGAAGGAGTCACCAGTCTTTCCCAACTGTGAACTCTGTGGGCTACACCAATGACTAGTCTAGTAAGACATGTCCACTGATCTAACAGGGATACAAATGTCACAAAAGGAAGGAATGACTCTCTGATTGGATTTAAGGCCAATTTCACAAGTTGAAACCCAAACCTGACATCATTACTGGGGCCAAGAATCTGTGGCTAGACAGACCATAGGCCCTATGAGGGGAGAACCTACTTCTATTACTCTGATAAATGGACATAGTATTAAATCAACTCCTAATGACTTATCCTTATACCCATAGGTTAAAATGTATCTCTGCCCTCACCAGAGAAGCTTCTTTTTTGAGGTAGATAGTGATTAACTCAGAGACCCACAACTGGTCAAGGTGCAGAGAATAAGGTGCAGAATATTTGTATCACAATACTCCACTCAAGGCTCAGAGATCATGGTGGAGGAGAGAGGCAGAAAGACTAGTCAAGCTGTAGGTGTGCATGACTACAAAGAAACTGTTTTCTGGATACAGTAGGGTAGTCGCACATATGAATCTATAGCAATTGAGACAGCATTCAGAAAACAAGGGTTTTGTTTTTTTTTTTAAATGTGTACAGGTGTTTTGCCTGCAGGTATATCTGTGTATCACATGCATGTATGTGTCTTTGGAGGTCAGAAGAGGACATTAGATATTCTGGAATTGTATTACAGAGGTTGTGAGCCACTATGAGAGTGCTGGAACTGAACCTGGGTCTTCTGTAAGAGCAATAAGTGTTCTTAACTGCTGAGCTATCTCCACAATCCTTTGGTTTAATTTTTTTTAATAAAAAATCAGTCAATAGATTTTACTATGTTAATAAGATAAAGAGAAAAAACTATATAATAATCCAGTGGATTTAATTTTTTAAAACAAAATTCAGTAACTTTTCACAATAAAAATGAACAACAAACTGGGAATCAGGATAGAACTTCCTTATCTTGACAAAGTACTAAAACGAAACCAAAACAACAAAAATGAAAAAATAATCTCATAGCTGCCTGCTGCAGTGGCTCATGGGAGGCTGATATAGGAGGATGACTATAAGTTGAAAACCAGCCTGGGCTAGGTAGTGAGTTCCAGGCCAACCTGGATAACAGTGTAAGACTCCGTTTCAAAACAAATAAACAAGTGAGCAAACACCCCTCCCTCTACAAAATCCCTCAAAATTCTACCTCACAGTGGTAAAAGTTAGCACACTGTGGTGGTTTGGATAAGAATGGCCCCCATAGGCTCATATATTTGAATGCTTAGTCACCAGGGAGTCCACAACTCCCTACTTTTCAATTAGGGCTAGGAGCTGTGGCTTTGTTGGAGTAGGTCTTTGTGATCTTGTGGGAGTAGGGGTGGCCTTATTGCAGGAAGCATGTCACTGGGGGTAGGCTCTGAGATTTCAAAAGCCCAAGCCAGGCCTAGTGGCTCTCTCTTCCTGCTGTCTGTGGATCCAGAAGCAGAACTCTGAGCTGCTTTTCCAGCAGCGTGTCTGCCTGTGTGCTGCCATGCTCCCTGCCATGATGACAAGGAACTAAACCTTTGAAACTGTAAGCCAACCCCAATGAAATGATTTCTTTTATAAGAATTGTCTTGGTCATGTTGTCTCTTCATAGCAATAGAAACCCTAACTAAGACATACACTGCTGCCAAGAACAGAAACAAAGCTATCTGGTCTTAACTCTTGTCTACAGTACCGTATTGGAGATGTGCTGAAGACCAGAGGCCTTTTAGGAGATTAGGATTCTGGATATGACTCATAGGAGAGGCATCCATGAAGATACCAAGTATATTAACAATATGGCACATAGGAACCTGTGTTTCTGAACTTGATTTAAGAAAACAGCAATTTAACAATTATCACACCAGAGAGCTATAGTGCAAATTCATGCTGTTATTGATGCTTTGAAGGCCAAGTAAGATGTGGCAATAGACACAGGGGTGGAAAAGGATAAATAAATAAATAAATAAATAAATAAATAAATAAATGACTGGGGACAAGGTATGATAGGGCAGAAAAAGTTTTATGGTGAAGGCATTTAAGCAGGACCTGGAAAAGTGACTGAAACTTTGTCAGGTGGGCAGAGGTAAGAGCAAGGGCACAATATGTGGCTGTGTGGAAGAAGTTATCACATTAGGAGAGCAGATAGGAATTTATTAATGTCTCTGGAAAGGAGACTAGAGGAGCTGGGTGAAAGGTGAATGATGAAGCAAGAAAAGTAGACCAGGTTGGATCATAGGAGGTCTAGGGACCCCATTCTAGCTTCTGCCTTCATACTTGTCCCCGACCCCCAACCTTCATCTTCTAGGATCTCTCCTCATTCTATTTTTTTTAAAGGCTCTTGACCTGCTGTCACCCCAGGCTCAGCTTGGAATCTTGTCTTGACTCTTCGCCTATACAGCCAAGGACTTTCCGTTTCCCCACCCATTCACAGCCCAACCAGCCCATAGCCTGTGTGCTCAGACCTCCTGCCGGACACATCCTGGTTGGAATTCTGTCACTTTTGTGGCCAATTAGGGCAGACATGGACTGGAAACTCAGGAATGTGTCTCTAGAGACGCTGACATTTTAAGTAGGAAACTGAAAAACTTAGGTGGCGTCTTCATTTCTTTCGTTTCTTTTTCTAGTTCACACAGACCTGACTTTGTCAGAGAAATGAGGATGTGGAAAATGAGTCATTAGCTACATAACTAGGACTGCATAGTAGGCTTCAGTAATTGAAACAACATTTTCCTGGCAATGGATGGATTCATTTCATAAAGACTTGGAAAAATTAATTTTACTTATTTATGTATTTATTCCCTACCACATTTCATGACATTGTTGTGCAAACTTAGAAAAAAATGCACCAATACATAAAGACAAAATAATGAGTTAAAGAGATTGGCTAGAGGAGAGAGCTAAGACTAGGACAATAACCAAGCCAGGAATACTGTCAGAAACACCCTATGGTTCTCTTTAACAAACAATAAGGGAGCCTTGTACGGATGTTACTAAGTAACAAATATGTTTCAGAGACCACCTGTAATTAACTACTCCACATGGTTGTAGAGTGGTTTAAAGCGTGGCCGCACGCCTTTAATCCCAGCACTCAGGAGGCAGAGGCAGGTGGATTGCTGTGAGTTCGAGGCCAGCCTGGTCTCCAGAGCGAGTGCCAGGATAGGCTCCAAAGCTACACAGAGAAACCCTGTCTCGAAAAACCAAAATAATAAATAAATAAATAAATAAATAAATAAATAAAATTTGGGACCTGAAACAAGCTTTCTGGGTTCAGTCCTGACTCCACCATTTCTCTGCACCTTAGTTTCCAAATCTGCAAGACAGACCCCTGGAGAAGGTACACTAGCCCCCTGGAGCATGTGGCTCTGGCAAGTGTAGCCCTTCTCCCCCATTCTCTCTGCCTTGATAAAAGCTCTTAGATTACATTCCTAAAACTAGTTACCAAGGTCCATTCCCTTATTTGGCCACATCCTCCTCCTGAGGGTGACTATCAAAGTCCAGCAATAAACCCCCCCTTTGGTTCATCTAACTGACATGCCCAATTAAAATTAAACACCTGATCCTAACACAGGGCTTCCCATGTCTGTCTCCTCTTTATCCAGAGGCAGTCCTCTGTGTTCCCAGGGGCAAATATCCCTGCCACCATTCCCTTGTTCTCTTCCCTTTCTCCCTTGTCCTCTGTTTCCCACTTTTGTCTCTTATTACCTGCCCTCTGTCCCTCTGGGGCAAATAAATCTCCTTTGTGCTGAGAACTTGGCCTTGGAGGTCCTGAGCTGATACTTTTGCTTTCAGTTATTTCATAGGAGGGTTATGGTAATAAAATAGACTAACAGTTGTAAAGTACTTGGAGCTGTGTTAGGCACGAAGTCAGCATAATAAAGTATTAACTTTCTGCAATTAACTAGGCATAACAGTGCATATGTTTAATCCAAGAATTCAAGAGGAAGAGGCAGGTGGATCTCTGGGAATCCAAGGCCAGCTTGGTCTAGATAGTGAATTCTAGGCTAGCCAGTTATGTAGTGAAACCTCTTATTATTTCCCTAAAATTAAGATATATTTAATTATTAGTTGCTTCTTATTTTGTTAATTTAAAAACAATAGAGTAATTTGTGGATATAGGTGTATAAAAGCATCGAAGGATGCTATAAGGATGTAGACTCTTAGGGCCTGGATTAATCAAGAAGTGGAATTTATGTAGTGATTTTTCTCTGAGAGTAAAACTTTCCATTTTGGAGGGAGGCTCACTAAGACAAGGATGTCAGAAAGGAGGGGAGACAACAGGATATTCTAAGGGAGATGAAACACTCCATCCTTCAGGGACATTCATTAAGCTCAGGAAGTAAATAATTCAAAACCTTCCAGAAGTTCCTGAAACTGACCAGACTCACTAGGCCCCTTCCCTCAAGCACACACACAGACACACAGACATGCAGATACAGACACACAGACATAGGCGCGCGCGCGCGCGCGCACACACACACACACACACACACACACACACACACACTGTAAGGACTGCTGAGAGACACCCTCAGACAAGGGTGCTTAGAAGAGCTGCTTAGAAGAGTCTCAGAAGAAGCAAGCTGCCCGGAAAGAGCAGAAACCAGTCTAGTTTCGTGGAAGAGGCACAGGCCAACTAGGTTACTTGGAAAGAACATGCTAGGTTTCCAGATTTTGTGAGTTGTCACCCATGTTGGGATGGGCTTTTGGTGATGCAGTTGTATTTAAGTCATTTCTGCCCCTGTAAATAACCCCTCATCCATACTCTTGTAATTCCAATCAAACCCATTGGTTCGCCAAATTGGACTTTGGTGATATCCGTACTTTGGTCTGTTATCAATTTCCTATCTAGGATGGGCAGATGTTTGTTCATGTCACACAACATTGGAGAATACCCATCTTTTAAAAAGACTGGGTAATCTTTTTTGATGAAAATAAGATACCCAAATAAAACAAATAATCTTTGATGAAGACAGAAACGAAGCGAGATTTTCATTAAAAAAAAAAAAAAAGGGTCAGGATTACTAGGGCTTAGAACACGTGTAAAATGCAGTTGGAAAAGTTACACAACATTTGCAGTTGAGGAGCGTGACCGGTTGGTACTAATGGCAAGGATTTGGTTACTGCAGCGTGTATTTTGTCCAGAAGAGCTGCTCCAAATGAAGAGGTGGAGGAGAGGGAGCAGTGAACAAACTGACCTATACCTCACTTGTGGGGAAGCCCACAAACCTGAAAGTGAAAACATGGAATCAATAACGGGGGGGGGCAGGAATTAGAAAAATATGCTGTGCATGTAGTCAGATGACAAAGGGGAATGCATGAGCACGTGATCAGAGCAGCTTCTGCATTCTGAGGTCAGTGCAGGCTGCTTCTCCTTCCTAGGACAGTCAGAAAAGCTAGATCGCACATAGAGACCATTTGGAGCCAGGTTATTGTCAAGGATTTGAACACTTGGACATGAGAGAAGAGGCAGCATGAACAGAGGAGGAGAAAAGATGGGGAAATTTAATGCTCTTCAGTCATTTGGTTGGAATATATGTTATGTGAAGGGAATGGGGGACAAAGCTGGACTTTGAATACTAGATTAAGAAATATGGATTTAATGATATACTAATAGTTTCTAGAGAGAGAAGACTCTAGACAGAGGTGGGAATTATGATGGTTTCATTTACCCTGAGGTTGTATGTTGAATTTGAGTAGAGGGGATGGTGGTAGCGGTGGTGGAACTCCTGATATGGGATTCCCACCTGCTAAGAGACATTTGCAAGGAAACAGAGCAACCAACAGATCTTTTGGTGAAGACCTGGTGCTGGGGTAGGGTGTGACTCAAGCCAGTTGGTGACATGCTAGAGTTATATGGGCCAGGAGGCAGAAACACTTGAGAAAACTAGGAGCGTTTCAGTAGACTTGGGTGGCAGTGGTTAGGTGGAGACCTTTAAAGGTCAGGGAAATACACAGTCCACCAGGCTTGCAGATGAGAGCTCTGGAGGATAGGTTGACTTTTAGCAGGATGGCTGCCCAGCCATGACTCAGCACAGTACATGAGTGCTCTATCTGCCTGGACCAGGGAAGGGTGAGTCTTCTCTACCAACTCAAGCCTCTACAGTACATTTATACACAGGTGTGGCTTTCATTAAATACTGCTGGATAAAAAAAAAAGTCAAGCCAGGACCACATGTTTGAAAACCAAAAGACAAAAGAAATAATGAATCAAATCCACCTGATTTAGGATTAGCCAGAATCTTAAGTGATTAAAATTACATGTATTATTATTATTATTATTATTATTATTATTATTATTATTATTTGTGTGTGTGTGTGTGTGTGTGTGTGTGTGTGTGTGTGTGTACAGATGACAAGTGCAGATTCTCTTCATTATGGAGGTCCCAGGGATCAAACTCAGGTCATCACACTTGAACTGACTTTTACAAGTTGTTCTCTAATCTCCACATTTGTGGGTACTCTCTCTCTCACACAGACACATACATATGCAAACAAACAAATGTATTGATAGTAAAAGAAAACAGGAAGAACAGCTAAACCTTGAAC